CCGTCACGGCCGACGCCAAAACCAACTGGGTGGAAGGCATGGTCATGGTCTTATTCTACGTCATGATTGTGCGTCTTTTCTTCTGCTCTTTCCTCGCTCGGGTTTGAAATGACGCATATATTCCAATCAGGCCCTGGTTGCGTGGTTCTACGACGGCCAGCCCGCGGTACACGAGATGCTTCGTTGTGGACCCGTCGCGGATACCCTTGCGCTCGTTGCGTCGCATTGAATGGGAGCGCTGAGCTTGGAGCTGGCGGAGGAGAGCATAGTAGTGCGGCCGAGCTAGCGCCAACTGGAGGTGCTGCTCATCGATTCCAGCGAATCAAACTGTCTTTCTGGATGGAGACAGACTGACAGTTTTTGGTGACATAGTTTTGGTACTGTATGATTAGATTACAAGCGATGCTTCTTGGTTTGTGATATCTGCTGTTGTGCGTGTTACCTAGTACGACAGATACACATATACACCTTTTATGGTAACGCTAACCTATGATCTTTCCTGGCGGAGGAGTCTACTCTTGGTCAAAAATTAAGCATTGATTATCAATGGTTTTATGTTGAAGTGACACGCGCCGTCAGGATTTATTTGGTCGATAATGGATTAGCTCCCAATTTGGGGTTACGATTTTCTCCTTTAGTAAAAACAGAAACAAGAAGTAGGATCAATAGCAGCATACACTCAAACTTCTCCTCCGTACTATACAAGTGTAACACCCTAAGACTCATTCATCACGACTTCGCATATTCTCTTTAAAGAACGCAAGCCCATCCGGCATCCTTTGATCGGAAGGAAATCCCAGACTGAACATGTTGCGTTCACGTATAGGCGTCTTAACGGAAGTGCTATGTGCGTTGTATCTACAAAGTCGTGCGTTATTGTCGGTACTGCGCGTCTCAGTTGTACTTTCACCTCTATAATCTTTCCAACGCATCCTAGTTTCACCCATATCCTCGCTATGACTTTGTTTTTATTTCGTATGCTTTATAATTAGTGTTTTATGCGCTCACCTTTGCTCCGAAGATTCGCGAGGTGTCCATTTGAACTAATACGCATATAGTCACCGCAGCCTTTAGTGTTATATTGGCATCCTGGTGCCCTACGATCAAGCCAGTCGGTTGACCGCTCGGTTTGATTGAGACCTGGAAGAATTGTGAGCGCGGGTTTAAACTCCTAAGGTGAACCTACGTCGTCGGCAAACTCCCGACGAAGATCATAGTAAGTGATCGTTGAGCCCAGCCCCGCGTTGACCGTGAGAGTCTTGACGCGTTCGGTCAGTTGT